GATGATGATGATGTCGTCCCATGGACTCTGCTTCAAGACAGCCGCTCCTCGGCCACCGATGCCAGGAGATGGTCAAACATTTCTGTTGGCCCTCCTCCTCTTCCTCATACGCCTGCTCCTCCTCCTCCTCCTCCTTCTCCTCCTCCTCCTCCTCCTCGTCCTCCTCCTCCTCTCGGTCCTCCTCCTGTCGGTCCTTCTCCTGCGCAGCCAGGGTATGCACAGCTCCGGCCAGAGATGCCCCGAGTTCTCGGATCACGAGCGAGGAGAGGAGGAGAAGCACGGGGGAGGGAGGGAGGGAGGGAGGGAGGGAGGAAAAGAATGGGGGAGAGAGGAGAAGCATGGGGGAGGGAGGGAGGGAGGAAAGGAGGGCGTGGGGCACTGCTGGCTCCTGCCACTGCTGGCCGCCCTCGGGGGCCCACTGGTCGTTGCCCTGGTCGCCCTGGGAGCCCTCCTGCCACTCCGCCTGTGCCGGCCGAGCGGGCAGGGGGTCGAGCGGGCAGCGTCGGAGCAGAGGGGCTGCGCGGAGAAATGCCGCCCTGGCTCAAGACGACGCCAGGGCGAGGACAGCATCGGGCGAAGCGAAATCTGACGAGGACAACATCGAGGACGACATCGAGGAGGACAACATCGAGGACAAGGACAACATCGGACGAGGACAACATCGAGGACATCGGGCGGACAACATCGGACGAGGACAACATCGAGGATCTCTGAGATCCAGCGGCTCTGGAGGCGCCGCTGGGACGGACTTTTCTCGTGCCAGCCTCGTCCGACGACTGGGTCAGGTCGCAGGAGGCGAAGCGCCTCAGAATGTATCATCGGCGCGCCACCTGTGATGCTCCCTCCATGTGTCGGAGGAGTCCCATACGGCGGCGAGCGAGGGGGGGACGCGAAAAGGAAAAGGCCTTCTCAGAATGCTTGGGGACTTCTCAAAGGCCTCTGGCCTTCTGAGAAATATGCTGTGCCTTCGGAGAAGGCTTAGAAAACTTCTCAAAGGTGGGGGGGGGCGTCCGAGCCTTCTGAGAAGGTCCACACCACCAAAAAAACAGCACATACGTAAACGTGCGGAGCTCCGCCCAACTTTCTTGGATCCACGCAGGATCCCCCTCCCTGGCGCGCGGGGCGCGCCGGGGGCGGCGCTGGAGGCGCCGCCAGGAGGGCTCCAACGCTGATCCAAGATATCGGCGCCGAAATCCAACAAGTCTGTGTACTCCAGATTTCGTAATAAAAGGGAGGGGGTCTGGACCCTCCAAGACAAGCCATTTCAGACCTCCCCCGTGGGAGAACCCTCCAAAACATCGTTCCCAGACCCCCCAGGCCCTCCAAGATAGCCTGGAAGAGGCCCAGCCCCCAAAATGAGACCCCCCTCCCTTTATTACGAAATCTGGAGTAAGTGCATTTTTTCTTATTCGATGTATCCCGCCCCGAGCCCAAGCGCGATCCACAACTCGCACACAGCGGAATCCAGATCGTTGGGCTGCAGCTGCCGCGGTCCGCCGCTCGGGCTCGGAGCACCGCCGTGTGCGCACGGTGCCGTCCGAGCCGTCGCGACAGGAGGCGGTGCTTGGTCCGCGCTGCCTCTGGCTATGCAGGCAAGGAAGAACGCAAGGAGGAGGAGGAGGAGGAGGAGGAGGAGGAGGAGGAGGAGGAGGAGGAGGAGGAGGAGGAGGAGATGGAGGAGGAGGCCCTCCCCCCCCTATGGAGAGGGAGATGGGAGCGAGGCACGGAACGCAAGAACGCAAGAACGCAGCCGTCAACGCCCCGAAAGGCTTGCCCGAGTGTAGGCGACAGGCGTTTTCTTAGCACGCTGGCCCTTCGAGGAGGACCGGTGAAACTGCAGTGAAGAGTTACGCGCGAGAAGAGTTACTGAGTGGAGCGAGACAAGGAATGAGAGGATATTCAGCGTGCGAGCGCGAAAGTATAGCGCAACCTCTTTCGGGATCGGGGACGCACGTCCCAGAGTGGCTTGGAAATTCATGCCCCCGCCTGCCACCTTAGGGGTATCCGCCACCGTGCCGCTGGGCACGGGGTGGGCGTGTCCTGAGGTCCCTTGCCTAAGCCCCTACACCCTGCGAAATGCTTAAGAATTCATGGGTTAAGAAATTCACAGTCTCAGAACTTGAGTAAAAACCCAAACTTTCCATTCAAATCTTAGGATTTACGTTGAAACGTTAAGAATAGTCGAGACTGTGGCCGAAAACTTGGGTTTTCTTAAGCATCGCCTGAGGTGTACGCGCTCCTGAGGAGTCTCTAAAGGGGCCCAGAACCCAAATTCCCAAAATCTTCTTGGGCTTCCCGCGTGCTCCCATCAGGCTTGCCGCGTCTTGCCGCGTGACCTGCTCGGGCCAGAGATGGGCCCCCGACGGGCCAAAGAGGCCACAAAAAGCCCCCCAAAACGGTCCAAGAGGGCCCCGAGTCACCGAAATACGGCCCAAGAGGCCTCTGAGACGCTCCAAGAGAGCCCCCAAGAGCCTTCCCAGAGGACCCCGATAGGCCAAAGTCGTTGGTTTTCCCAGCGTGTTTCAATGATTTTGAGGTCCTCGACTTTTCGAGCTCCCGACGCTCCAAGACGGCCCAAGAGGTCACCAGCACCGCCCCAAGACGGCCCAAGAGGCCCTCAGGAGGGCCCCGATACGGCCAAAGAGGGCTCCACGACGGCCCCAGAGACGTCCAAGGCAGTTTAAGAGGGCGGGCCCAAAGACGGCCCCAAGAAGGGCCCAAGAGTGGGAACACGAATCGAAAATCCGAGTCTTCCGCCCCAAGAGGCCCCAAGAGATCATGAGAGACCCCCACGAGGCCCCGAAGACGCCCCCTAAAGCCCCAAAACGGCCCCCAAGAGGCCTCAAAACGGCCCCCGAGAAGCCCCGAGAGGTCTCCCGCGACATCACAACGAATATCCTAGAGGCCTATGACCCACAACCCAAGCACGGTGGCGGGATGGGCCGAAAGCCATTCGATCCGCCGCCCCCTGTCGATTCATCGCAGGGGTGCCTGGCGTGCCGAACAATATGGCTTTTGGTTTTGGTTCTTTTTCCGAAAGAGCTCCCCCTGGGGCTTCGGCCCGTCCCGCCAGCCACCCGGAAAACCCACCTGTCGTCGCCTTTCTGGCCCCAAGATGGCCCAAGATGGCCTCCAAGACGGCCAAGATGTCACAAGATGGCCTCCAAGTTGCTCCAAGACGGCCAAGATGGCCTCAAAGACGGCTAAGATGGCTCCAAGATGCGCCCAAGATGGCCTCATGGTCTAAGACGGTCCAGAAAGCCAGCAAGAGGCCTCCAAGACGGCCCAAGAGGTCTCCAAGAGGTCCTCCAGGAAGGCCCGACGAGGCCAAATTCATTTATTTTCCTAGGATTTTGAAGGATTTTGGTATGTGCTCCTTTTCGGCCTTCCGACGGCCCGAGACGGCCCAAGAGGCTCCCAAGATCGCCCAAGAGGCCCCCAAGAGGGCCTCATGAGGGCCCCATGACGACCCAAGTGGCCTCCAAGACGGCCCCAAGAGGGCCCCAAGGCGGCCCAAGAGGCCTCCAACACGCCCAAGATGGCCTCCAAGATGCCCAAGATGGCCTCCAAGACGGCCCCGAAGCGCCCCAAGAGGGCCCCAAGTCGGCCCAGAAAGGCCTCCCAGACGGCTCCCGGCGGCGTCAGACGTGTCAGAACCCACCAAGATGGCCGAAGTTGGCTCGAAGCTGGCCCAAGGCGGCCCAAGAGGCCCCCAAGAGGGCCTCCAGGAAGGCCAGAAGATGCCACACACCATGATTGTCCTAAGGTTTTGTTCGGATCTTGACATTTGCTCCTTTTCGGCCTTCCGACGGCCCGAGACGGCCCAAGAGTCCCCGAAGATCGCCGAAAGATCGCCCAAGAGGTCTCCAAGATGGCCCCAGAACGGCCCAAGAAGGCCCCAAGACGGCCCCAAGAGGCCCCCAAGACGGCCCAGGAGGCCTTTAAGACGCCCAAGACGGCCTCCAAGACGGCCCTGGAGCATTCCAAGAGGGCCCCAAGTCGGCCCATAGAGGCCCCCCAAACGGCTTCCGACGGCGTCAGACGGACCAGGAGCCCACCAAGACGGCCAAACATGGCCCTAAGATGGCCCAAGACGGCCCAAGAGGCCTCCAAGAGGGCCTCCAGGAAGGCCCGACAAGGCCAAAATCATTGATTTTCCATGGTTTTTGAAGGATTATGGCATTTGCTTTTTCTCTCCCTTCCGACGGCCCGATACGGCCCAAGTGCCCCCAAAGATCGCCCAAGAGGCCCAAGACACGGCCCCAAGAGGCCCCCAAGGCGGCCCAAGAGGTCCCCAAGACGCTCAAGATGGCCTCCAAGACGGCCCAAGAGCCCTCCAAGAAGGCCCGAAAGGGTCAAAATGGCCTCCAGACGGCCAAGATGACCTTCAAGATGCCCACGTGTTCCCGAAGGCTTTCCAAATCGATTCGGGGCACACATGGTCCGATAGCTTGGCAGGTCTGGCCTCAACGTTCGGCCACATAGGCGCTTCCAAAAAGGCAGGGGGCGACGGTGATTCGCCGTAGGCGTCTTCCATACACTTCCCAACCACCCCGGGACAAACGTCTGCGATCACGGACACATGTATGTTATACCGTTCTTCATGTGTTCAATTCAAACTCTTTTCTCGCATCGCAACATGTCTCAACGTGACCAGCCTCAGTCTCGGCCTTCTACCGTGAGTGTGTCAGGCCCTCTGCTGCAGAGAACAAGGGGCAGCGCTCTGGCAACCGCGATCTCAGCAGACGTACATAAGACACGATGAAATCGCATATTTACAACGCTCTTTAAGCGTCCTCAAGGAGATCTGCCCTCAAAGCTCGCTCGTGCTCGCCCTCCTATGGGGCTCGGCAAGGGAGAGGGTGCTGTAATCAAGCTCCACCGCGTGCAGAAAAAAGCTGCCAATGCCACGGGACGCGCGACGACTCGCCCTCCGGGCGAGCAGGGGCACTCAGGACGGTGCACGGCTGATGGACGCTACCCAGCGCCAGCCACCTCGCTCAGAAGCCCCCGTCGGCCTGCATGCTTCCGCCGCCGAAGCCCCCGTCGGCCGGCATGAAGCCTCCGCCGCCGCCGCCGCCGTAGTCCATCATCTCGCTGCCGCCGTATCCCCCGCCGCCGAAGCCGCCGCCGGCAAGCTGCTCGCCCAGGAACATGCCGCCGAGCAGGCCGCCGAGACCGGCCGCGCCGACCGTGCCAGCTCCGTAGCCACCGCCCATGGGGTACCCTCCGCCGCCCATGCCCATGGTGGGGTAGCCGCCGCCGTAGCCTCCGCCCATGGGGTACCCGCCGCCCATTGGTCCGCCGAAGTGCTGCCCCTGCTTGCCGCAGAGCTGGCTCAGCGCGCAGCAGAGGCACAGGAGCAGGAGCAGGGGGAGGAGCATGCCAAGCAGCCCCGTGGGCTCGGCGTGGTAGCGGGAGAGGCCAGGGCCGATGTTGTGCCTGATGGGGCTCGGCGCCTGAGGGACCGGGCACTGGAAGTTCGCGGCGCAGCCGTTCGAGAAGGGGCAGCAGTACATCTGCGACGCGGGGGTGCCGGCGGCAGGGGTGCAGCACAGGCCTTCCGACAAGCCATAACTGGGGGAACTGTGGTGCCTACCCCCCTGGGGGAACCCATCGCATCGACGATCTCTCGAGGGGGGTGTCGAAATCGATAGTTAGGTCTCCCCCAGGGGGGTATGGACCACAGCTCCCCCAGTTGCGGCTGGCCTGGCCTTGACTCTGGCCCTTCCAGGCCAGCTCGCACGTTCCCGACTGGCAGCAGCTCTGGCAGGCGCTCGAGGCCTCGAGCCGCCTCCCCAGCGTCGGCTCCTCCGTGCCGTTGGCGGCGGGCAGGCTGCGGAGCGCGCGCGGGGCGGCGCCCTGGGTCGCCTCGAAGCCGCCATCCGCAGGCAGGAGCTCGGCAGAGGCGAGCGCGCCCAGGCAGGCAAAGAGGCGCGCGAGGTCGCCCATGGCGCCGCAAGGACTGTCGGCCGTCTCGGGGGCAGCCGAACTCTCGAAGCAAGGGGGACTCGAGGAGCCGGAGCCCAGATGGCTACGGCCATGCTGCATTCAAACTCTTGGGATTAGGTGGCACGGAAACTCTATACCACTCCAAAGGGGGTCCCGGGCTAAATGGGGCGGCTGGTAAACATCACGGCGTACGCAAAGCTCCGACCCGAACCGTTCCAGAACAACCAATCAATTTTCACACAGTGCAGATAGGATTCCAAGCCGCAACCTTCTGCCATGGTGTGGTTTCCAGTCGTGAACCGTTTCTGGCGTTATCGCAACTGTATTCATGCGAATGTGCACGCGCATTGTCTGATTCGTTACATCCTGTATCTTGCCATTAGCCACTTTCATTGTATTAACAACTGCCCAGATCTGTAATGCCAGCAGTAGCGATAATTGCGTTCGCAGATCTGCCCCCTGGCGTTTGTGTAAGGCTCCTAGGTTTACTCAGGGATGCCGGCCGCTGTTCGGGATCGTAGACTCTTCTGCCGGTCTTTCACGCTTGTGCCCACTTAGCTTGTTTTTGACATCGTAGTGACCGAGCTCATTGCAGGCAGAGTGTGGGATAGCATTGACCAAGGGCTTGCATCTATTTGCGGGATCTTGTTCCCAACGTTCCTGGGAACCGGACCCGCGTGACTGGTTTCAGCAGGCGGTGCTGGCAAGTGTTCCTTGGAGGACGGGAAGCCAAACATCGCCGCAACTTGGCATGCCTCGCCTTCTTGAACCTTGCAACGTGCCTTACCGTGTTTGTCAAGGTTAGCTTGACTTCTGTGGGGGATGCAGACTGGCAGAGTTTCAGGAGCACCAGAAAGGGGATCCCTTAGAAATGTGCTGAACTACTGTGTGATTTTGAATGACGCCCAATAATGCCCCAATGCCGCCAAAAAACGCCCCAAGAGGCCTCCAAGACGGCCCCGTGGACGCCCCAAGTCAGCCCAAGATGGTGGTCGACACCAAGGCCTGAGAGGCCCCGAGACCAAGCAACGAGACCCCAGAAGTGCCAAGATGCTCCGATTTGGACATTTCAGCAACAAGGGAGGCAACGGTGAATCGGTGGAGCCGTCTTCGACACCGAGAAGCGGGGCAGAAAGACAGAGAGAAAAAGAGAATGAGAAGAGAAAACAACCTAGAAACAAGTAAGGTCGTAAACTGGGCGTGCGGCGAGGCGCCTCCTCCTCTTCCTCCTCGTTCGCCGCCGTCTCGTCTTCTCAATATGGTGACGATGCTGCTGCTGATGTTGATAATTATCATGACGGTCATGAACATGATGATGCTGATAAGCACCATCACCACCACCACCATCGTCATCATCATCCGCATCATCATCAGCATCATCATCTTCAACATCAACATAATCACGATCGTCATCATCACCAGCATCGGTATCGCCATCATCGCCATTGCCATCGCCATCACCATCACTACCATCGTCATCATCATCACCATCACCGTCACCGTCACCATCATCACCATCGCCACCATCACCACCATCAACATAACCATCACCATGACCAGCACCACCATCACCACCACCATCAACATCAGCATCAGCAACACCATCATCATCAGCAACATCACCACAACCACCATCGCCACGACCACCACCATCATCATCATACTCGTCACAGACCATGATCATCACCAGCCTCACCATCACCATCACCACCATCGCCATCATCACCATCACTATCCCCACCATCACCATCACAACCGCCATAAACATTAGCATTATCACCACCGTTGTCATCACCACCGCCATCATCATCACCATCACCGTCATGATCATTCATGATTATGATTATCATCACCATCACCACCACCCTCATCATCACCACCACCACCATCATCATCATCAACATCATACTAGTTATCATTATCACACTCGTCTTCCCTCGTCATCGTCATCTTCATCATTCGCATCAACATACAAACCACCACCATCAACAATATCCTCCTCCTCCTCGTCCTCCTCCTCCTCCTGGCCCGTAGCCCACGCGGAAAATCCTGGCGCATCAGCTGCACGGCAGAGCCGCGCGCATCACCTCGGCTCGCATCTGTGGCAAAACCTGGATGACCTGGGCTGCTGGGATTCCTCTAACGTCAGGCGGAATCTAGCTAATTGTGTTAAACAGATGAGACACGGCAACAGGGATGCAACGAGTCTCAGGACAAGGATTGAAAAGGCCGAGGAAGTCGACGGGACGCGAGGACGACAGGCTACCCCGCCTAAAGAGAGAGAGAGAGAGAGAGAGAGAGAGAGAGAAAGAGAGAAAAAGAGAAAGAGAGAGAGAGAGAGAGAAAGAGAGAAAGAGAGAGAGAGAGAGAAACAAAAAAGGAGGATATACCCCTGACATTTACCACGTGTGAGATTATGCGCCATGGAGTCGCGAGTGTTACATCCCAGGCCAAGCAAGATCATGACCATAATCGCATTGGTCCAGGAGCTAGGAAATTCTGCGCGCAGCCCCGAAGGATATCCGGGATTTTGCGCAGAGCCTCGGTGAAGTAGAATAGAATGCGCGACTTGCATGGCAGCTCCAAAGGGTCTGGGTGCAGGGGGTGCATCAGGGCTAGAAAGGCACTGCGTTGTACTATCCTGTCGACCTCTGCGATGACTCGCCGCGCTGCGGCCGCCGCGGGCCCCCCGGCTTCGCGCCGCCTTCGGTTCGAGGGGCGCTTTCTCTCAGCGCGGCGACTAGTGGCGGGTGTCGCCGAAAGTCGGGGGCGAACTGCGCCCTGCTGACTTTGCGCACAGGCAGATGCTCCCAGGTCCGGGCCCCGAGAGATTCATGCATGTTTTGCCGCCGTGTGAACGTTGCCAACGCGTGGCGCATGAGAGCCGCGAGGTTCGCGATCTCGGCGCTGCGGAACCCCGAGCCCGCCGTTTGGCGAGAGCCATGACGTCATCGTAGCTGAGAGCACAGTTTGGGACATAATAGATCATTGCGAGGTCGACGTGCCCTCGGCGCTTAGTCCAAGAGGGTTGCAGCTGGAATCGGCCGACGTGCGAGAGCGCGCTGACAGCTGTCCTTGATCTGTCGATTGAGCGCCGGCGCGCGTGGACCTGCAAGCGGCGCAATGTAGCACTTAATGGGTTTAGCATGAAGGTCTGCCAGGCGGGCTGAGGCACTTAATCTTTTATGGGGCCGTCGAAGGGATTGAATCGAAAACACCGCGACCCCCGCGTCATCGGCGCGCGCCCGAACAATCTCTTTGCGCGGAGTGATTCTTGCTGAAATCAACCATGAACGGATGGGGCGTTGGACTATATATTACTCCCGAGGCTGGGCACCCCTGGGTCATCCCCGCTAGGATGAAGAATGATACTTGCGCACGGGGCCCTATCGCACCGAAGCGGCACGCGCGCGTGAATGAGCTGAGGGGAGGGGTGGGAGGGGATCTCCAGAGCTCCGAGGACCATCGCAAGCCATTCGCGAGCAATTGGTGAAAGCGCTCGGGAGTCACCAAAGGAGGCGATGGGGGGGGGCGACTTCAAGGCGTCTTTGTGGAATCCCGCGGCTCGGGCTTCAGCGTCGAGTTCCAATGTGCTAAAGCCGAACTTGCGGCCGACAGCGAATCCCCGCTGCACGGGGCCCACAGCGGCAGGAAAAGCCGGGGTGAAGCTGTCTAGCAGCACCTGTTTTTCTTTTGCAGTCGGCGTTGAGAAGCCCAAGGTCGGGCGTTGGTCGGAGTCCTGGCAACTGCGGTGGCGCTCTCTGTGGCCTCACCCTTGGCGACAAAGGCGCCTCGAACATCGTTGACATTGAGCGTTGCGCCGAGGCCCTCGAGGGTCCAAAGGAGCGGGTCGGCGAGGGCCTGGGGGCCTCGGGGGTGGTGGGCCCGCGCGGCGTGCGTCGTGCTTGAGGCCGAACCGCTCTATGCACCAGTGGGCGTTCTGGCTCTCGATGGGCTTCGCTGAGAATGGCGCGCCAACTGCGTCTTGCATCCTCTGGGGCGTGAATGCAATGCCTCCAGGGAGGTCAATGCCCCGAAGGCAAAACTGACGCCCGAAAGGAGGCCAAACCAACCAAGTCGCTCCAGACCATTCAACTTCCAACGCATTGAGGCTCGCACCCTTTGCAGGGGGCGACTCTGCGGCCTCCTGGCGCGCGCTCTGCTGCGCGGCCTGGCTGAGCTTGTGACTGAGCTAGCTCGCGAGCATCGCCAGCGCGTTGGGCTCGAGGGGCGCGGCGGACCTAGAAAGAGGCTGCGCCTGGAGAAATCGGGCGGCAAGCGAGTGCGTTCGCCAGCTTTTCGGCGAGGCTGCAACCCTGCCTCCAGACAGCTCGGCCGATGGGACGAACCGCCAAAAGTCTCGCAAAGGGGCTCTGGGGACGTTCGAAGATGATAAGATCTCTGGCTCGCCTGGCAACCTCTTTCATGATCTTCCTGTAAAGCGCGAATTGCCGCGGGATCGCCGGCGAATCGCAGTCGGATGACCGATGCCTTGTCAAGAACCTCTGTGTGATCTGGCCTTCCAAAGATCTCAAGTGGAATTGGTCGATCTTCAGGTGGCAGCGGCTCGCGCGGCCAAATCGCGATCGAGTGGGCAGCGTGGTCCGAGACCATCGCTTGGTTGGGTATCTTTGGGGGTCCTTTGACCTTGCTGGCGAGGGCAGCTTGGGCCGCGGTCCAGCCGGGAAGGCTTGCGCAGCCGCGGTCGATCCGCGCGGCCGTGCACTGCGCGGCGCAGAAAAGAGTGAACTCATCCCCCTCCGCCTCCACCGTGGCAGAAAATGCTCTCCCATCCCCTCGCGCACGCACCCCTCTCTGTCTGTCTGTCTGTCTGTCTGTCTGTCTGTCTGTCTGTCTGTGTCTGTTTGTCTGTCTGTCTATGTCTATGTGTGTGTGTGTGTGTGTCTGTGTCCGTGTCTGTGTCTGTGTCTGTGTCTGTGTCTGTGTCTGTTTCTGTTTCTGTTTATGTTTCTGTCTCTGTGTCTCTGTGTCTCTGTGTCTCTGTGTCTCTGTGTCTCTGTGTC